ATAGGGGGCTGGGGAGATGGCTCAGCACTTAAGAGCACTGGCTGCTCTTGCAGACGACCTAAGTTTGATTCCCACCACCCATACGGTGGCTAACCAGTTCCAGGGGATCTGAAGCCCTTTTCAGACCTCCAAGGGCACTGCACGACCCAGGTGCGCTTACATACATGCAGGCAATACACTCATACACATAAAATAAAAATAATAAAATATTTTAAAACAAAAATAGCAGGGGCCTGGGAGTTGAGAAACAAAAAGAAATAGGTCAAAGGTTCAGAGCAGCAGATACAAGGGATGACCAAGTCTAAAGGTCAAATATGTGAGGACTGTATGTAATAAAATTATTCTGGATTCAGACTAAATGAGATTTTAGCTGCTCACATCACAAAAAAAAAACAAAAATGCAGAATTGATAGGTAATGGATATGTTAATTTTTCATTATAGCAAACAAAAAATTTTTATTTATTTTTATTTTATGTGTATGAGTGTATTGCCTGCCATGTGTGTAAGCGCACCTGTGTCATGCAATGCCCGCAGGTCAGGTGTCGGATTCCCCTGGGACTGGAGTTACGGACGGTTGTTAGCCACCACGTGGGTGCTGGGACTCGAACACAGGTCCTCTGCAAGAGCAATTAGTGCTCTTACCGCTGATCCATCTCTCCAGCCCCTACAGTAAACTTTTAAACTACATGTATCCCATACTATCATGAAGTATAACTTAAATATATGCAATAAATTTTACTGTAAAACATCTTATCTTCCTTATAATTGGTACTTAGCAAATTTTAAGGTATCTTAATTTCGTCACATTCTGTGATCTCATGATATTCTTTTAAGGTAGTGATGTAGCTGAGCTGGTGGAGTGTTTGCTTAGCATATATGAAGTCCTGGATTTCTCTCCAACACCACATAAAACAGTGTTGTAGCAAACACTCCATGCAACTCCAGCACGCCACAGACAGGAGGAGCAGGAGTTCAAGGCTATCCTTGGCTACATGGTAAGTTAGAAGCCAGTCTGGGCTACATGAGCCCCTGTCTCAAAAAGAGAGAAAAACAACCAAACTAGTTTTTCTTATTTTAGTATCTATGGACTGTGTGTTAAAAAATAACATCTAGGGCTAGAGAGATGGCTCAGAGGTTAAGAACACTGGTTGTTCTTGCAGAAGACCCAAGGTCAAATCCCAGCATCCACATGGCAGCTAACAACTGTCCAAAACTCCAGTTCCAGGGGATCCGACAGCCTCTTCTGTCCTCCATGGGCATTGCATGACACAGGTGCACTTACCTACACGCAGGCAATATACGCATACACATAAAATAAAAATAATAAAATATGGAAAAAAAAAAAAAGATCACTGACTGCTCTTAGAGAGGATCTGGGTTTGAGTCCCAGCACCCATATAGCAGCTAACAACTTTCTGTTACTCTAGTTCCAGGAAATTTGATGCCTTCTCCTGACGTCCATGGGCATTGCATGACACACGTGCAGGCAATACACTCATACACATAAAATAAATAATAAAAAGATACTAAAAAAACAAAAGACAACCATGATTCAGAGTTATTTCTTCTTAGAGGAATATAAGGATGGGTGTGTTTTACACTTACTGGAATGTCAGATTAAATATGAATTTTTTTTTTTTGAGTCAGGGTCTCCCTGTGGCCCCAGTAGACCTGGAACTCACTATGTAGACCAGGCTGGCCTCGATCTCATAGAGATCTGCCTGCCTCTGCCTCCTGAGTACTGGGAGGGATTAAAGGTGTGCACCACCATGCCCAGTTTAGATATGGAATTTTTATATCTATCCTCCATGAGTGTTGTTAATCACTGTGACTATGAGCTCCCTAAACAAACACGATACCCAATCTGACACTCGGTCCATTGACAAATTCCACCCATCACTGCTTTCTGATTATTTCTCAGCTCTTCACAGTCCTAATTCAATTATCTTTTTGTAGCTTTTTTAAAAACCTGTTTTCATCTTTAAAAACAAATTGGTTTTGAAAGACTTCCTAATTTCTAGTGTGTACCAAGGTCACTTCCTTGGGATGAGCTCCTTGTATCTTGCAAGAATCTGAGAATTAGTTAGAGGCACTTCCTAGCACTTCTTACTAGTTGATACCTCACTAGCAATACACAACACTGATTTGCAGAAGGTCTAACACCCTCCCTTCCTTGTAACTACCCAAGTGAAACTGTTTTTTCTTATAGACTGATGGGATCACCTCCTTTAATTAACTTCTGTTCCTAGGCACCAAGGCTTTATTTTAGGGAAGAAAATGAAGCAGGGACCTCCATGTTCCTCCCCTCAGGAGTCCAGAAGAGACTTTGGTACCTCTGGGCTGTACAACACTCTTTTTCTCTCAATAATATTTCCTCTGCTAACCACTGGATATTGCCTTCTCCTCTGTGCCCATCCATCCTGGCTGTCTGGCTGTCAAAACTGACTGTTCAACACAGGATGGATTGTAGGTAATCATCCAAGAATCTATTCTTTGTTCTTAATCTGGTATGTTGTTCAGGATCAGAGGAGGGCAAGAGGATTGTGGTTCCCTCTTCCTTCGGTCAAGTTTCCATCTCCAGGTGACATTTTCAATCTGTTTTCCTAGATAATGAGCACACGTGACAAGCAATCACAAAGTGGCTTGGACTTTTTTTTTACTTTATACCTTTTTTCAGTTCATAACTGATAGCCTGGCTCTTCATGTGTCTTGCTGGGTTTCTACAGACATGATGATGATGATGATGACAACTGAGACAGGTCTCATATAGCCTCAAACTTGATACTTTGGCCTCAAATGTAGCTACATTGTTGAGAATGGGACCTCAACTCCTGATCCTCATGCCTCTGCCTCCTGAGTGCTGGGATTACAGGCGTGTGCCACCATGCCCAGCTCTCCATATGTATTAGGGTAATCACAGCTCTAGGTGAAATGGCTATTATTAGTCCAAGGTTCACAAGAGGGTCCTCAATAAGGCTTGGATATCTATAGTAACTGTAGTGACCACTAGACTAACTTTAACCAGTGACATTCAATATCTGATCATCAAAGAGGGCTCAAGAAATCAGAGCATTTTCATCTTTCTGGGAAGTCCAGACAGTGACTAGTGGCAGACTACCAATGGGTTATCCTTGACCCAGTGATCTGGTACAAGCCTAGAAGACAGAGTGGATTGAACCCCAAGGTTGTTTATGATAGATATGATACATAACTTAGGATTATGAATTAGGAACACTTGGACATATGCCACCTGTCCTTGCACTCTGAAACTCACACCCAGGATGAGGTCAAAGAGAATTGTTGAGTTCCATAGGAGCTGAGCTCTGGCTGCAGTTCTGAATGGCTGGTGTCAGTCTCTGCAGCTGACCATCTCTAGCACATGATTTTCTCCTCCACAGAAGAGGAGGAATGGGAATAAGATCTGAAAATACCCCTTTGAGGGGGTAAGAACCATATTTGCCAGGCTGGGAGAGTTGTAACTATCAGTGCATTAGCTGCAACCTCTTAATGACTTGGAGAGGTATGGCATTCTAGCTCTATACATCTATCTAGGTTGGACAGGGGCGTTTCCCACCTGCCTCTGCCTTTGGAGTATTGGGATTAAAGGCATGACCATGCCTGGTTGTAGCACCTCCCTCCCCTCTTTGAAACAGGGTTTAATATAGCTCACACAGGCTTCAAATTCCTATAGCTAAGAATGACCCTGAACCTCTGATCCTCTTGCCTCCACTCCCAAGTGCCAGGGTGGTATTCATCATTACCCTGGCTGATTTGACGATTCTTAACTTTTGTTTCAGGTTTCTTGTGTCCTAATAAACAGATGGGGGCTTTCTGCAGTATTTTCTTATTTCTAAATCAGCTACCAAATCATGTGGTACAAACAGGTTAAAACAAACTTCTAATTATATGTATCAGATTTTAAATTCTTAAATTTATTGTATACCCTATTTTGAACATATTTTGAGCATAACAGTTCCCTTATGAAGTTAACCAATAAATGCATAGATCCATGGGTACATGGCCCAGACTTTATCATCTTTGGGTTATAAGATTAAAAGGGCTCAGCCACTATTCTAACTAATAATCTTAGTGTCACTGTAAGACACACAGGCATGAATTCAAAGACAAAAGTATTTTTCTTTATAGCAGAAAACAAAAAAAGCCAAACCAAACCAAAAACACTCAGAGATCTTACCATTCAAAAAGAAAGAAAATAAACCAACTCTAGTCCTCTGAAAATAGAGCGTGCTTAAGAAGAAATGAGCCAGATACGGTAGCACATGACTTTAATATCAGCACTCAGAAGGCAGAAGCAGGCAGATCTCTTAGATCAAGGCCAGCCTGGTCTACATAGTGAGTTCCAGCATAGCTGGGGCTACACAGAGACCCTATATAAAAAAAAAATTTTTTTTATAAAAGGGAAGCAAGAAATAACAAATTAGTTTACAATTTATTAACTTTAAGGTAGAGTTTGCATGCTAAAGAGACTGTGCCTCTTGAAACTTAACAAGAAAGGCCAGGAAAACAAATGATCAGAAGAACCCATGTTGTTTGCTCAGTTACTACTGAATCCTGCTTCTATCAGTGACTTAGCCTTTAAAAAACACAAAGGCTACAATAAAGCAACAGTCACTTTTCAAAGAAATAGAGCTATTTCGATGTCAAGGTATCACATCTGACTTTTATATTGCCAGAGACATTTTTCACAAAGACTTGGGTAAAGGGCTTTAGGCCTTTACCCAAGAACATTGTAGTTTAACATACACAAGATAGGTTAGTGCTTGTTCTGGAATTTCTGTCTGGACTGGGCAGGCCAAGGACACCTTGTGCAGGCCTGCTTTTCCAACTTTTCAACATCCCTACTCTACCCCCCCATCAAAAATGCATGCACAAGCGTACACATGTACACACACACACACACACACACACACACACACACACGCAGAGATAAAAAACAGACAGGAGTAAGATTGCTGCTGTCCCGCAGAGTGGGACATACCTGGGATGCTCTCCAATTTTCTTCTGAGCTCTTCATTTTCTTGTTGTAGTGAAATAACCTCCTGCTCCAGCTCCTGGCATCGAGGACAGTAGCCTTCCTCCTCCTCCTCTTCTTCCTCCTCTGGTAACGTGGAGGAAGATGGGTGACCATGGGACTCAGATGTTGCCGGGGAGGTCCAGCCACCTAGTGTATGCACTGGAGAGGTTGAGAGAGGGTCCATATCAGCCAGGTGGCCATACTCACTGACTGATGAGGTGTTTGGAGTCGGGAAGCTCCCGGAGAGTAGGTAATTTTGCAGAGAGTCAGTGAATACTCTTAAAAAGGCAGAAGTTTGTTGTTTTCTTTGCATATATTGCATCTCTATGTCTACGTTGTCTGAGGTCTGACTGTGGACCCCTTTTGCAACATGACACTGTTCCTGTCTTTCGTTATAACCAGAACCTTCCTGCTTTACGCAAGAAATCATGGATTGTGAATGGTTGGAGTCCAGAAGTTTTCCTCCGCAATTTAAGAGACTAAGAACACGACTGCACTGCTGGGCAAAGGCATCCAAAATCATACGGCTTTCTGAAATGAAATAAGAGAGATACGTCAATGATCTACAGCCAAAGGGAAGGAAGAAGCAGGTCCTCAGTTTCAAGTTTAACATCCAAAAACAGCATATCTGACCAATGGGGATGCCTGAGTCATCCCAGCCCCTTATTCAAGGAAAGGCTGCTCTGTAACCCTGGGCACCACGGAGATGTCCCTCTCTGTGGAACTCACTGACCTCCACAGGTATGAACTCATCCCTTGGCTTCGTTAATATCCTTACAGTAATGAATCTGGCCAGCCACTGCAGATTCAATTCCTCATTGATAGGAGGGCTTACCACAATCATTACTGCTATTTCTGGAGTGCCCTCATGCCCTTGCTATTCATCACCTGATACAATCCCTGCTGAGAAACATGCAGCTCCCAGATGCAAACTAGAGAAGAGAGATGTCTTTTTGAAATCTAAGGCAAAACAGAGTGGATCTATAGGTAAAGAGTAAGTGCACCATCTTCATTCAGTAGTCTTCCTTTAAGTTATTTGCTAGTCTGGAATTCTTGTAAATATCAGTGTTTAGAGCGACCTGGGACACAGTACCATCTGAAAACAACAGTCTTTTCTCAGAGCCGTTTGCATTACTATCAAGTGTCCTAAAAGGACAAAAGCTGTGGGTTCCAGGTATAGCCCACAAACCTGAATTCTAAGCATACAATGGAAAGCAAGCAATGGAAAGCAAAAAGCAAACAGAGACCAACCAACTCACTGTAAAAACAAAGGGGAAGACGCTCCCAAATCCTGGATTGTTAAAGCCTGAGATTCTTAGAAAATGCACCCTAAATGTGTTGTTATAAGGTAGCTCCACTTCCCTCTTGCAACCATCTAGAACCAGTCATTGCTAATGGAATGATACCTTTCCAGGGCTCAGTAGAAAGAGGATGCCTTGGATATTTTTCTTCCCCTTACTCAGGCTAATGGCAACAAACAAAATACTGGAGGACTTTGATGTTAGTAACTCTTACTTATGGTAGAAATGTAGCCAGTTACTGGCTTTCTCTGCAAACACTGGTAACTTGTATTTTTTTGTGTTTGGTATGGGAAAAGAAAAACAACAACAACAAACAACCTTTTAAAGTTTAAAAAAATATGGTGAGATACTTGAGATACTTCTTAAAAAAATATGGTGAGATACTTCTTCGGAGTAGAACTCTAAAAAATTCAGTGTGTATGATCCACAAAAATCACACTGCAAGCTATGTCTGAGTTGTTCAGTCATTGTGGTATACATCTACTGTCTCAGCTATTCAGAGGG